TGCGTAGAAGGTTAGAATTAATTTCAATCTTGAATGCATGATCTCAAATTAAAAAAATGGCGTTATTACTTTATTAAGACCAGGTTAATCTGATCCTATCGATTTTAATATAATACAGCACTTACAGTTATATACAGTATTTATAGGCTGCATATAATTATTTCGGTACTGTAATACGTATCACTTAATAGATAACTTCGATAAAATTCTCTAATTATTTTTCGATTATATATTATATTGAAATTATCTTCTCCTCTGCAATTAAATAAAAAAATTCAGAAAAAATTTAATTGTGTATTTTCTTTATTTAAAACACAGTGATTTTTTTTTATTAATATACTGTATATTCGATTTTTGATATAAAGAATCTATTCATTGTTAATAAAATTACCTTTTAAAAATACAAATAAAATCTGTGATTAATTTAAATCACTTCAATTGCAAAAAAATCAAAATTTCTTATAAATATTGTAAGCCATAACAATCTATTCTATTGTTATTATTATTGAATTTAGGTAAAAATTAAAAAATAATGACCGAAAATCAAATCTTCGTGTTTTATTTAATCATCAATTATTATTCATTCATTCGTTCAATTTTGTTTTTTAATTTATTGTTAATTCGAGACTTATAATTTATAATTTCAATATAAACTTATAATTAATAAATCAACTTTTACATAATATCGTGTAATTAAATAATACAATTGAATTTTTTTTATCGCAAATAGGCATTAAATCCGAGGCTTTGTTATTAAAAATCTATTTATTCCATTAAAAAATTTATGATAAAAATAAATTTTATTTTATTTTATTAAAAAAAACATTACATATTAATATATATTATTAGTTAGCAAATAATTCGTTAACAATTACTAACGTGTTATCCGATTCGATTGGAAAACTTTAAATCGATGAAAGCATCGAAATCCTGCACAATCTATAATTAGATTTTACGTACCAGGATGTAATCAAACCAAAAAAAGCTAATTAGGCAAACTTGTATGACGCACCGCATATGTGTAATAATTTGATTTTGCAACTGCATTATGACTTAATTTATAGTCGTTAGCAAGAAAAAAAAAGTATAAATACGTAATCTTTTAGCTAAATTGTATCGCTACCAGAGTAAACATGCCTTTCGGACGTCTTGAAATTACTGTTGGTAAAAAGAAATTTTGTTTGCTATCGATTTGTATTATGCTGTTAAGGAAATCTAATTATTTTTGTATCTCGAAAAAAAGTCGAAGCAAAAAACTTGAAGGGTGGAAGCTTCATGGGTTAGTGTCTGTTCTAGGTTCTACGATGCAATTAATATCAATCTAGAAATTCGAAAATTGATGTTTTTTTTTTTTTTTATAGACAAGGCCGATCCTTATATCTCCTTGTCTACAGACAGACAGAATACACAAAAGACAACTGTCAGTAAAGATGCTGGAGCAAACGCTACTTGGAATCAAAATTTTTATTTGTATGTTTAGTCTTGGATTTCTCAAAGTTTAAAGAAGTAAATTAAGAAATGTCTCGTCTTTATTTTAGTGACATCGTTGAAGGACGTAATGAACTTTACGTGCAAGCATATGATGAAGACCCAGGCAGCGATGATCTTATAGGTATTGTGCGTGATTTTATTTGATATTTATATATACTGTCATCTCCATTGATATCATTATTTGTTTAAATATATAAAGGCGGCGCAGTCGTTCAATTAGGTCCACTCTTTCAATCTGGATTCGCTGATGCTTGGTTCCCTCTTACAAAACAAGATCGTAATACTGGAAACGTTCACTTAGTCATGAAGTTCCACGGCCAAGTGAGGATTAATAATGATTTGAGCAATTGTCTCTGATTAAATTAACTTAATTATATAATGATTAGGGACCAACATCTGGGCCTACAGGATACGCGCCATACCCAGTTTCTAGCGGTGGTCAGGGTGGATATTCAACTCCACCAACTCACCACGGGCCCACCGAATATTCCAGTCTCGGACCGCAGGGAGGACCCATGCCAACAGGTTACGGTGCAGGAACGCCACCTCCACCCGGTCAACCAGGATATCCCCCTGCACAACCTGCTGGCTATTATCAACAACCTCCACAGCAACCGTTTGGTGCTCCTCAACAAACAGGTTATCCCCCACAAAGTGCTAGTTATGGTTCTCAACCGGCCTACCCTGGAAGTGCTCCACCTTCACAAAGTTCTGGCTATAGTGGTCAGCCGGGAGCTGTATATCCTGGTAGTGTTACATCACCGCCATCATCTGACAAAGCCCAAAAAGAAGGTGGATCTGATTGGGTGGTGAGTGCTCCCGTTATTACATTAAAAATAATATATACTGTATATCTTAATGTTATTCATTATTTGATTATCCATAGAAAACTGCTGGCATAGGAGTTGCTGCACTTGCTGGTGCTGGTGCCTTGGCGTACGTTGGAAAGAAGATGTACGACGAACACGAAGAAAAGGAATTTGAGAAACACCATAAACAGGAAGGGATGCACCATTCTCAGCAAGGATATGGTCATGAGCAAGAAAGACGCGAACACGAAAGACGCGAACATGAAAGACACGAACACGAAAAACACGAACAGCATCATAATAAACCTCATCATCATTATTAAATTATTACTAGAGTAGATTATCTATTATTTGAAGGACGTATTAGCAAACAACTATCCTTTTTTTCTTTGTGAATTCTGGGTATATCTTAAAAATCATAAAATTTCAACTTGTAACAATTTACGATACTTATTTCTAAGTACAGTGGAAAAATAAACCTTTTTTATAAAATACAAACTTTAGCTAGGATCAATATTTTAAAGTGATAATTCTTTTTCATAAATTTTTGTTATTTTAAAATGCTTTGATTTTAGTATAAATTGTCATTTTAAAAATTTATTTTAAAATATTTTGATTTTCTACCAAGTTGTTAATATTGAGAAAAAAAAATAAAAAACGGATCATTTTTTGTTTTTAATAAAAAATAAGAAATTTGATTTTATTTAAAAATTGGTTCAATAATTTATAATAATAAAAAAAGACGTCAACATAAATTTCATTGCATTGCAAAGTTCTAAAAATAAAATTTGATATATTTTTAAAATTGCCTTTATTGAAATGATTCCTAAAAATATAAAATAATATTTTAATAAATATTATATTGGATTTTTTGAATTCAAATCTAAATACAAGAATAAAAAGAAAAAAACTCTTTCCCAAAAATCTTGCATTGTTAAAATTTCCTTTTTAGTAACTGGCAAAATTATCAGGAGAAACAAAACAACAAGTGTTCTTGGAAACTTCTCTCCCAAGGGCAAACCACCAAGCCTATCTCATATCCTTTTGGATATTGTAGTAACAAATCTCAATGATCATCTTTTCTTTGTAGTGTACAAGAAAAGCAATTCAAGTAACATTCAAATCACTGAACTAGCAAAAAATATATCCATTCCACCTTTAGCTAATTTTTTCAAATTTTGAATTGTTTCTCTACAAAATCCAAGTAATAGTAACTTCCTACAAGTGAATACTGTTTTTATCAATTTCAAGCAAGTAACAACTAACTTCACCTCTCTCCAACTATATACAATAGCTTCAATAACTATCAACAACTGCAAAAGCAATATTCAAAACAATCTTAATGATTTCTTTCAATATTAGAAGATAAATAATTTTGCCTCAAGCATAAGGGAGACCATCGCAAGGAAAGTTCAAGACAATAATTTCAACTACACTCTTTATCTTTTTTGAAATCAAGTTAACATTATTAAAAGTGATAAAAAATTCAACATAAAAAAAATTCAAGATATACCAATTCATATATTTCTTAAATATCAGTTCAGAACAAGAAATTGATATCTGTTAAACAAAACTTCACTGAAAATTATGAAGAAAAAAAATTACTATTTCAAATTTCAAAAAAAATCACAAATAACTTACTTCCTTTTATTGATCTATAGAATATAAGCAACCCTAAAATAAGAAATATTAATAGCAATGCATATACACTTCCTGCCACTCAAAAGTACATAAGAAAAATTAGTACAACAGGTCACACAATACTAAATAACAATTACATACATAATCAAGATAATATAATGCAAGTAGATAATCTCTATTATGCAATTGTTACATACAATCAACATGACAAATCTGAAAGTACAATTAGACCTATTAGTTTCTACTTTGATAATAATATATTATAAAATTATTAGATTATACAAATCTCATTAATAGTACTAGCTTTCTTATAGAATTTGACTATTAAGTAAGAAAAGAACCAGATAATTTACAAGAAAACATATTTCCTGCTTATACAAATAATCAAAATCTTATATTCAAACAAATTAGAATTAACAAAATATTAGATGAAGCTGAAATCAACTGGCTAACTGATGACCCAAGCTTAAATAAAGATCTTAATAACTTCTATAGCTTTTCAATTACAGAAAACTTAACAATTAACACCACCCTGAACAATAAAAAAAACAGAATCACAGAAATTCTTTTGAAAAATAACCAACCAATAGACAGCTCATCTATCATATAAGCAGCAGGAAGCAATAAACCCTTTACTAGTGAACATAATACAATTATTAACCCAGCATTACAGTTATCAGCTTACTGCAGCAAAGTCAAAACAATAGCAAATTTTTTTATAAAAATTAAAGTCATATCTAAAGAAAATATATAACAGAAACTTTACCTTGCAATTTTCATCAAAGATTTTTTTAAGAGATAAAACTTTTTTTATATTATTTAACAAAAATGATTTACTCAAAAAAAACTATCAAAAAGAATATAAAAAACTAAAAACAAAAACATATGATGGCTATAAAAAAATCAATAATGTCAGTTATATCAGTAAAAGAATTAAAAAGAAAATTGAATAGATCTTCAATTCATCACTTTTCATAGTTTGTTTTAAATTTACAGACCTGAACAAATTCAAATATTTTGAAGTTGTATAAATTCTTGAATTCAGATACAACTATTTTATAAAAGATAATAATAATTATATTAACTATATAGAGCTGTTAAACATAATTAAGAAAATACTATATAAATCTTTATCAGTTCTTTCAGATAATCCAGGATCCATTTCTTCAAATATTATAATTAAACTTTCAAGTTTACTTCCAATTAAAACAAGATTATTGGTGTCATTTATTACATCAGTCTTAAGAGTGCATTATAAGTTTTCTCAACTGTCAAACTCATATTTTTTCAAGTTTGACTCCTTGCCAGAGAACCTCAAGGATCTTAATAAAGAAACCAAATATCTATTTTTCATAATAAAATAAAAAGGCCTTAAAGAACTATTAGGAAAAATAAAAGAGCTTATAAATTCTACAAAGTTTCTGCTAAAATATTCAAAACATTTTTCAACTTGTCACCACCTAAAACTCTACTCCTAACCTTATACAAGCTGCTTCCAGAGCACTTAGTATACTATTTTTCATATAATCCAATAATAATAAATATGAAAGAACTTATTGATATTCTAAGGAAGAAATACAACCTCAAAATCTTATTTCTGGATTTTTACAAGTTCAAAAAATCTCTACCTTACTCCTCTAACTCACTACTAGATAACTTAGACATAAGTATTCTAACATAAACTAAAGAAGATAGTGACTACCTTATCAAGTGGCTTCAAAGAAATTTCAAATTCAATCTGTCTTTAGGACTATTGTGACTAGACTCATCTATTTTACAAATAGGCAAAGAAAAGTTATCAAACAAAATTACTAAGGTAGATATATTCATAGATATCAAAGATCATATCAACTATCAGGCAGATAACTTCTTATCAACTGTACAGAATTACATAAAATATATAAATTTTATACTATTCCAGAAAGCTGATTTTAGACTTTAAAACCATCTCTATCATTCA